TCAAGAAATAGAAAGTGTTTTGGGATAAACGAGAAAATAGGATAGAAATTTGATTTTACCAGCCGACCGAGAAACGATTACCATGAGTTGTCTTCGCAAAATAACGCATATGTACCTAGGACATTCGGTGATTTCCATTCGTTTAAAGGTACTTCACCAAAACACATGAAACATGAATGCATGCAAGTCATTGGCGTATATACATCTGCACCCCCTCCTCGCCAGCCAGCATATCGGACTGTTTGGGGGCGCAGTTCAGAATGCCATGGAGAACAGAGTTACCAAGTTTATGCTTATATGAGTGCGGATCGCATGGAATATATGTTTGACTAGAAAAAGACCCATTTGCAGCTTGTAGCTCAGTGATCTCTGCATGCTTAACACACCAAATGCCATCCTTGACGAGCGTTACCTATCAGCATACCGGACAGTCAAGTAATCTCATTACCACTCAACCACCAAACACTGATACAAGAGATCGTAGGTCATTCTGTAAATAAACATGAAACATGTGTAAGGAGTACCCGTGTCAGCCAATTTTCATAAACTGTCAGTGTCCAGCTCTTACTGCGCTGGGCCTTATGCTTTCCTTGAAAGACTCTCAGGAACAACTTGTATTAACCAACGCGAGAACCAAAACACAGATTGGCGACTCGAGAATCTTTTATTCTTACGCCAATATGTAACCGAAATTAAGGTTATTATACACAAGGTCTAAGAATAAATGTTATAACAATAAATCACGATAATACTTCCGATAGTTTTCTCTCTTCCACTGAACAGCGAACGATGAGACGATGACTGATGGATTGATGATTCCGCGAAAAATATGGAGGAGTTGGGTTTGAGCAAACAATCATGAATTGATCATTCAATCTTCAACTACGCTGACAACCCATGTAATACTTTTTCGACCATTTCGCTGTGAGTTCTGTTTCTGCGTTTAGCACTGCGATCCCTGGGTGATGGTGGATCATTTTCACTGTCGTACCGCCCTTTACTAACCATTATCATGAAATTCTCAAAGGCGCTCGTGCACAGCTCAGATGCATCTGAACAGCTGCAAGTGGGCAGGGATTAATGATGCGTCTCACATAGTGCTTCCAGCACTTATAGGTCTGCACCCACCTATATAATCCTATCGGAAATCATGAAGGGAAATTCTTTCACTGATGTCTTGAGCTGTGGGAAGCCATAACTGTCATCCTGGATGATTTATTTCCATAACACTTGACTTGACATGGTTCCCCAGATTCTCTCTACAGTTTTCTGGATGGCTTTTGAACTTTGAATATAAAACATACACCGATCAAAAGTTTCCACTAGTTTTCAAAAGGTACAAGTAGAACCAGCCATCCTCAATATAAATTGATCAGCCTGATGCTTACCTTAACTTCTAGGGTACTATCATGCACGAGTGACAAGCCTTCTTCATAAGACCGGAAGCAGTCTTGATGTTTCCGGAATTCAGCTTATTCAAGTTCACATCAGCCGACCATCTAAACATAGTGTAGAGATGGTTCCGTTTATATTGCTAATAGCTTGGTCGCTCATCACACCCTCATCTTGGCATGGCTAATATTACCGCCTACAAACATGCATATGTGGCAGACAACGTGTTTAGTGCGTCACTATCAGAGTACCAGCATAGAAAGTATTTTGATTTACAGGAAATATTAATATCAGTGATAATGGTCTATTCTCAGCTTAGTAAGCATGAAGACATCAATTTACAGACATCGTCAATTTGGTGAAAGGTAATGCAAATGGAATTACGTATTAAATATAGAAGCTGATGCGTTATACATTCTAGGATAACAGATACATAAGTGTTCATGCACATGCACATAGACGATAACAACAACAGTAAGCAATTTTCGCATACTTAAAGAATGTATTTTAGGCTCATGTAGTTATAGTAGTTTATACAATGCAAAACTGTGCTAAGGGCGCGCAACATTTAAAGTGTTATTAGTAAACACCCGACAAGATATATCACTTAAAAAACGCCTTCTTTACGAAAATGCCTATCACAATGTTACTTACGTCTACGTCAATGGTGACTAGGAGGGACTCACCAGAATAACTGCTACACGATTTTCTGAAACTTTTACTTAGACGAATACTACCTTATCACATTCCATCATCTAATAACTCTGGATACGATGAGAGTATCGTGCCAAGGTACAGCAGTTCATGTCAATGCTGTTTAATCCTTACTACTGGTAAGCCAACCTAGAGGGACAATGATTGTCGTGACTTGGCACACGTTTGCATTAGTTCATGGCTTTTGTAAACAGATAGAATATTTGTCCTTCAGAAAGAATACACCATCTCGGCTAGTTTGGGGATGCTCCACTAACGGCGGGTCAAACTGCAGAGGGATATATTACGAAAAACTTTACTTCAGCGTTTACGAAATTTTATGGATTACACATGTGACTGAAAAAAAGAAGTTTGCATTTTCTGTCCACCCAACCATTATAGTGAGCTACGGCTTCTCAGTATGTTCCAGCAACAGACTTTATTTAGCATCCACACCTTTTAACATTTTACATATGTATATACTAATATAATAATACTTATTAATCATGCATGTTCAATTCTTAAATTAGATGGTTATTAAAATACTTAAAATATTAATGCATCAAATGTTCTCTTGCTTTACCACGCTTGTTTCCCTTATAACACTCAATTATTCAGACTAGTGTATTATTTGATATACGAATTATATTATTGACTATACTCTTATCATATATGGTTTGATTTACTCTACGGCTCCCTGTAGACTAACTACCATTCTTCAGTATACACACACTGCAGTATTGTTAACTAAATGCCAAAAATTTGTTGGTTCTGTGTTAATATCTTTTTATAATATGTCTAGACACGTTACTTTGCAATGTCAGATGTTTACTACATATGAGTACAATAAGTCCTGCCAACCGACCTTACCTTCAGTTCATACTACCTACATTGAACCCTAACTATAGTGTTCTGCTAAATCTTGTTCCACTATTCACAAAACCTATTCGTTTTACTCTTTAAGTTTTTAACTTCTTATAAAGTAATCTGTTCATTAGAATGCATGCACACATATATAATATGTTCATAAAGATGTACGTGGAGACCTATTGGAAGCACTCATTAAGAAAGCTAGGGAGATGGAACGTGAGGTACGAACATGTCTGGTACCAAGCAATATATTTGCGGTAGCCACAATAATCATAGTCTCAGAGCCTAACATCGAAAAAGGAGGGAGGGTGGCGTTAGCTGATCGGTAGATATGGTAGTGGTCACTAAGGTGAATCGCCCCATTCTGCAGGAACAGCAATATACAAATTAAAGGCTCGAGATATTTCTGATTTTTATGAGAGCTTAGATCTTTATCTTGAAAAAGATAATAATGAACGCCTTGACAGATCATGCTTCTACCTTTAAATATATACCATTCGCTCAGCTTATTGTTGAGATGCGACCACGCGGGATCTGTACAGATTTACGGGGCACCTTATAAATTAACTTGCTATCCATTGTCAGATCTTAAAATACCACTTCACAATGTCCTATCTCATTTATTTTCCAATAACGTCTTTACTCGATCCTCATAATATTCCATTAAACCTAACATTTTATAGCTCTTTATGAATTTGATTCGACTTGTTCTATTCCTATTCTCTGTAGGGTACGGCTGTGCACCAAATAGACAAAAAGGCATGAAATAAAAACAACTGGCTTGAAAATAATTGTACTAAAGCCAAAAGTGGACATCATGATAGTACGAAGAATATTTGTATGATTATACATTGTAAATGAACGTTGTTGGCCTAAGGATTAATTACTTCCCCATTCTGTTTTCTATATAAATATATTTATTAATGATATATTGCACTTGCTTAATTTATAACACGTTAATGATTCACATTAGCACTTTAACTTTTCTAAAACAGCTTCCAATCCCTTGTAAACGTTATACTTACCTCAATATTGGTTGGTTATCGTATGCCTACAACCACGGGATGAAAACGAAACGAAGTCGATCTTCCCGCGCAACCTGGAGGACAGCTGTGCAATTCAATATCTATAAGGCCTGGTTCAGACAATGAGTGTAATTATATGTATATAAAATATTTAACTGTTGAAACACTATTAACTTGTTGACAATTTAAGATTTGACATTATACCATACTTGCTCGTGCTTGTAAAAATGGCATGCATTTTCATGTAAATTTATGTTTATATGAAAATTATTATTATTATAAATTATCATCATTATTATTTACAGAATCTATGGGGTTGATTTCACTGCGTTTGGAGATTCCAGGAAACTGGTCTTTGCTACCACTGCAGCTGCTCTTCAAGCACAACAGAGTTATAACAATGGACACCAAAAGCTGTAAATTCTCTGTGGAACTCAAGTTTTTGGAAAGACATTTTCCCATCGAAAGTTCAAATTAGACACCGCTTTCCAACTAGCGATCATAGTTATCGTTCGTTTAACAATACACTTTATTCATCAAATTTGTCTACTTCTTAGCGTAGAAAAGTCACGTAGTCTAGAACCAAGTGGAATGAGTCTACTAAACTCACCGAATACTTAGGTTACTGCTGGTTGTTTTTAGTAGCAGTCTCCCTACATTATTTCGAACTTAAATGGATCTAGAAGCCGCAGAAAGTCACAAACTAAGAATGATAGCACAGTGTCACGCGGTGGCATAATTATCGGCACTATGCAGAGCGTTTACTGGAATTATCAGTGATATTTTCACGTCTTTATGTACATCTCTGGTGTGTTCAAAACTAGGAAACTGCATGCAGACTGCCAACCCTTGTCTTAAGGAGGATTAACTTAGCATACATAAGGTAGTGAGATATCATTACATTGTTTAAAATTCTAAGAAATTGCTATAGGCCAACACCAAGAAGATTTAGGGTGAAAGGGCAGGAGAGTTCAAAAAGGCAAGAAGAGACTGTATCACCGTGGCATACTGGTTCCCCACTGCGTCATAAACCCTTGGAACCGACTCCCAGAATAGGTGGTATCAACAGCTTCAAATAATTTATTCGACAAGGAATTTGACTAGCAGAGAAACTCATAATAAAAGGGGTACCATAGGCTTTAGTTCGTCTGCATTCAAACAACTAACGTGTGTCTGAAATCTGAGGAAATTCGAATGGTGGCGTTGCGTTGGTACGACCTTCAGCTCACCTCATCTATACAAATTCTGGTTTAGAAACAAGGCTGAAAGTAAGAGAAAAGATGGGTCAGACAATGAACATATTTTTCGATGAATGCTCCACGTATTTATTTACATATTTCAGGTTTAGCTGGCGAGCCGATTCACTGTAAACTTTCGTTTTTACAGTCATAGTGTATTAATATATGACTTTAAAAAAGAACGTCCACAGTCGTTGTAATCCCCAAAAGTTCGATCTCTGCTTAAAGTTAACTTGGTTGTATCCACTTCTATTAATGATGTTAGACTTAAGATTTACAGTTGATATATATATATATCAATTGTAAATCTTAAGTGATATATCACTTGGAGGATACCCTCCAAACCTTTTTAAATTGTTTAGTTTTCATGTATGAGCTTAAATTGTATCATCACAAAATTTTTTTGACTACAGGAATTATTAACTTGTGATATTCGTTCACAATTCCCGGTGCATTTTATTGTTATTCAGAAACCACTTAAAGAAAATCTGGACTAACAATATTGATTTTTATTTTGTTATAAACCGACATTTCTAAAGGAAACCATTTGAATTCTATCAGCATCGCTAGTAGATTGATGATACCAATAATACTCTATGAGGTTGTACCTCTACTATCTTGAAAGTACCAATCAGCAGCATAAAAAACGTCACATTCTGAGTTTAGTTGGTTTCTCATGTGATTCGGACACAAAGTCGGCTTAACATGTCATACCTGCAGATTAGTTACTTCAAGGCCTAGTTGGGACTTTTGGCAGAAGTCCTAAAATATTGTGCACCAGTAATTATCATGAGTCATATTGTTCAGAGTCGATCACTAGCTTAGACACATTTTCCATCCATTCTTTGAGATATTTTGAATGGCATACTATTATTCATTCATATGATGCTTTTGACATTCTAAGTTATTATAACTGTACGCCTAGTCTTCTACTGCTGTTGAAAAATGTAATAAACACAATTGAGTTTATATACAAAACTATACGTTAGATTATTTTTTGATTACAGCTTGATTCCACACCGTATTTTTAGTACGAGTGTGGAATTTTCAGCATAGATATCGGTAGCCCAGATTTTCAGGCCGACCATAGATATCAGGTGTGCGTCGGCAGGGGATCGAACCCCGGACCATGTACATGGTCGGCGAGAGTCCTTAACCACTGTGCCACCGACGCACACATTGCCATTCCACCTAGTCATTTTAGTAATGAACTGGTCATCATGTACATATAATGGAGGCTCTTTTTACCTGTTTCTCTGTTTCGCTGATAAATGACCTAATTTGACTATAACCTATGGTAGGTGACTGACAGCTAAGTTTGAAACACCAGAGAAGATTAGCAACTCAAGATATGAAAAGAGGCAGGTTGACATTCTTTGATCGTTGGGCGTAAATCTTTCATAATCAAGGTTCGTGGCATCTGCTGCACTAACTTCACAACATATCATCTGGGATTTTTGTTGCTAAACAAACTGAGGACGTCTTGGTGGACCTTAGGAAGAAGTCCGCTGGTGTGATTCTTCACAAATTAAATCGTTTCAATCTAATTATTAGACTAATATGGCCTTCATTTTGTCACTTTAGCTTGGTAGTCGTCGCGTTTCATGATATTATGGTTGCTCCTTTTTTGTAGAATAGCACTATTCTCTGGAATTGTTTGTCTCATTTGTCGATGTCATATAGACTACATAAATCCCACTTAATCAGATGGCACTCAGTATTTCTAGGCATAGTGTGTGCTTCTCATAATCAAGGTGGACGTGCTTTTGCAAAATTAGTAGAAGTCTGCAGTTACACTGTTACTGAGGAAACACAAAATAATTGGAAAGTTAATGTATCTAGCTGATTATGTGATGAAATCAATTATATTGTATATCAGAAACCAAATCTGCCTATACCAATATCAACTTGTAATACTGTCGCAATGCTTCTTTGGGCTATTACAGGTTGCATTTACAATGCTTCATTGCATATTTATGTTGTGTGCCCTTGAGAAATGGGTCTCTTGATACTTAGAATATCTGGTGGCCGCATATTGTAATCATATTTGTTTTCATGGAAGCGCTAACATCAGATAACAGTATTATGTAACCCCGGTGCATCAGCATCCTCTCATTAGGATCCAAAATTTTTGTCAGTCAGCAGCTTTGGACAGCATCGGATATGATTCATTAGTTATTATACTCCAGCATTCTTGTTTTTATTAGCATCGAAATTAACATGCGGAGATGACTGTTTTTTCTTTTTTTTTGATTGTACTTGATGAAAACACCTGTCTGATCATTCTGTAACATCAACCCCGACAGGTTGATCCCTGACGAAATCTCAGCACGGATACAGAGGGCTAGTTTCGCATATGCCAGTTTACGCCGTCTCTGGCGTAGACGTGATATCCGGCTGGCGATCGACCAAAGGGTGGGTGTACTGCTCATCAGTCCGCTCCATCCTCCTTTATGGCTAGCTGTGAGACCTGGCCATTGAGAGTGGAAGACATGAAAAGACTAGCTGTGTTTGATCATAGGTGCGTGCGCTGTATCTCCCGTGTGAAGTGGTATAATAAGGTGAGCAATATTTAGGTTAGGCGTTGAGTTCTAGGCAAGGAGGGGAAATCAATCGACGAGGTTGTGAAGTTACATCGACTGAGATGCTTAGGACGTGTGTTACGTATGCCTAGTCATCGCCTTCCTCGACGGGCAATGTTAGCTGACATAGGGTCAGGCTGGAAAAGAGCTAGTGGCAGTCAAACCAAAACATGACTTCACTAGTCAATGAAATCCACAACTGTTATTTTAAGCCAGCCATATAGGAAGGTGTAGACTTCGTGGTCGAGGTCCTCGGGACGGTAAAAATCAGTGGTTGGAAACAATTGGTGAAATGGCTCAAAATCGTTCTCACTGGCTGGCGCAGATGCATCCACTCTTTGTGACTTATGATTTCCAATGAAACTACATTGTTCTTCGTTATTATTATTGCTTTGTCTCACACCTCTGTTTACTGTCTCTATTATGCATTTCTTCTACTTTCTTCTCTTGCTTTGTGTGCTACAAGGAGGGAGTGTGGCAACATGAACTGGTACACATCGGTGCAAAGTTCTATGTCGAAAACCGACAGACAGATCATTCTGTTACCCTCTAACCACATATTTTCCATGTTCTCCATATTATTATTATTATTGTACTGGTAATTTTGATGCATCTCGTGTCGCATGCCCAACTAAGATTTTTCCTAAATAATAATAGCAGTATGTTGACCAGACTCTTATTTATTTTCTGGTCCTAGAGAAACTTATTTTTATCAGTCCCGATTATTAATCTTTTTTCTTGTCATGAGATTTCTATATTAATTATAATGACTGAAGAAACAAGTACTTACAGTAGGTCATAAGCCACACCTAGTGTGAGGACTACATTCTAATTCAAACACAAGTAAGTATAGTGGAGTTCGCACTGGCGGTCCAACAGTTTAATCCATGAACCGCAACATAATGGAATTTTGAGTAGATATATCACAATGATATAAATTATTCATTAGAACTTAAGTAGTTATGCATAGGCTCGTTGAGACTTAACACTGAACCATTAATACCAGAAAGTTAGAGTAGGATCTGTGCATTGTGGTGAAGTAAAATTCTATGTTAAATCTAGATGATTCGGTTCTCTGGATTTAGCATTCGGCTTCTAGTTAGTGAGTCTGGGGCCCGGATCCCGCTCCATCTAATCCAGCCTGGGTAACTGGGAAGTATCATCCCTCACATAATATATGTAACTGGTAAATTGGTACATAAAAATGTGTCATATATATAAGTGAGTTCTAAGAACATCTTTAGTGTATTTATTTAGTTGTATATCGTTTTACGCATTAATGAGCTTTTATTTGCTCGTTGATACTTCCAATAAGAATTTCTGTTTATGATTGCACCATATTAACCAACTTTTTGTTTGACACTCGTCCTGCACTTTCACTAGTATCACAGTTGTTGGTGTCCCCGGAATCGTTGTTCAGTTGTCCCTGTTTCGCGTACTAAACGTAGTTTCACAAAGAAGACTATACAATCAATTATTTACGTGAATCGATTGTATTTGTCTTTATGATTTCCACTCTTCCCCATGACATCCCATAAAATGGATCACTTCAGTCTTCAATGTATTTGTAGGTGAACATTTTTTATTACTCATACTGTGACAAGTTTGTTTAGAACATATCTTTTCAATAAAAGACAACTATAGGGTTTCCAAAATCCTTTGTGGCCGAGGTATAGCGGATGATAAACACTTGTAACTTCATTTGTGATTCAGGGCCGAACAAAGGAGGACGAGGACTAGGGTTTTAAGTTCACGATGAAGTCTAAAACTTGCCCGTTTTCCGGGGAACTGTTGTTAACCTCTAGGTAGATGTCATACGACAATAAACATAAAATTTTAAGTCGCTTACATATGCAGAGCGCTTGTGGAGCGAGTTATAATGGCCGTTGCTCTAGGAACTTGATTTTTCGTGCTCGGGAACATCTACCAGTGTGGCTAATTAGAGGTGTAGTAAAGACCATCAACAGTTCGATATTAGAGACCACCTGGTCCAAAGCGGCCACAAAGCCAGCATTGAAGTATCCTTTTTTATCACCTACCGGGTACCGAATAAATTGCCAAAATCATTCAGGTACCGAATACTACAAACAGCAGAGGCTATCGTGATTCGCCTTAAACAGCCACTGCTTTGTGTACAGAAGAAACAGGTCCAACCACTATTACTGTCCTGGCCTGTTGTGGAGCTTGAAAATTCATAAAATACCTTATTACATCGTCTTTTTTGATATAACCCTCCATCCTGTACATATAATTTCTCCTACCCCTTGTCATTACACTTTTATCAACTAACCTCTTGTTTTCCTATTTAAACGTAGTCGTTAACTTACACACTGACACAACGCACATAAAATGTAACCCCAAATTTTTTATTTCTCTACCCCATGTCCTTGACATGATCATTCATCTATTTAAAGTTTATAATCAATATGAATAGATATTTAATATGAACATGACTCATGAGAATTTATTATTATACATTCGTTGTCATTCATAATCATTTACTCTATAATATTGGTGTTTAATTGAGTGTTGCAATTATACATATCACCACGTACACGTATATTTCGGACTATAATCTATTAATCTGATTGCAAATAACTTTTGGAATTCTGATATAAGTGGTTCTATGCTACCCTTTAAAAACCACTAATGTTATTAATAACAATCGTTCTTTCATTATCATGGTTATATAACTGTTGAACCTGATAATAAAGTAATCAAAAAGAATATTTATTCTTTGTTCAGTAATTAATCTTTTGGGATATGAAAAGATTGGTGGTTTTTGATCAGAAATGTCTCTACTCCATCTTTCGTGTTAGATGGAGCAATATGGTTAGGCGTAGTGTGGGGTAAGGAGTAGAAGCCAATCGATGAAACTGTGATGCTCGATCGGTTGAGTTGGTTAGAGCATATCCTACGCATCTGAAGTTATCATCTTCCTCAACTCGCATTGTCAACTGAAACGCTATTAAGCTGGAAAATCTATCACCAGTCCATTAAGCCCTGGACTGTTGGTTAGAGCCATCGATGTACCAAGAATTGCTTTGTTGTTGGAAGTAATTTGCGTTCTTTCCACGTTTTTGACCACAATTTTTCACTGTGTTTAGTGGTAATATCTGATCACTTTGTTTCAGTTTCAAGTTATTAATTATTGAATTCTTATTATCAATTTCTCCTAGATTCTGTTCCCTGTATGTTGAGTACTTTTATATCCCTGTTTTCATTCATTACAGGAATTTTAAATAAAAAAAACATGCCTATCTTATGCTGTAGATGTCAGTCGAAAGGATATATCAAACGTCCAAAAACTGTAATTGTCGTATTTCTCTTAAACATTTTCCAATTGACTTAGGGTGATATTATGTGTAAAGATTGCTTTTCATTTTGTTTTGAAGAGGAAATACATTGGACGATCGTAAATGCCAAGCTTATTAACCGTGGTGATAAAATAGCTATTGGCGCTTCTGGTGGTAAAGGTAAACACTATCCAATTCGAATTATTTTGGCTTATTTTATTCTACACATTTTATAGACTCAACAGTATTAGCTCATGTACTCAATCTATTGAACAAAAGGTATGACTATGGAGCAGAATTACTCCTTCTATCTATTGATGAAGGAATAAGTGGTTATAGGGATGATTCTTTAAGGGTATGTCTTTTTTTCTATGTATTTGAAATTGCACACAGACTGTACAACGAAATCAGATTCAATATGCACTTCCCTTAAAAATTCTTTCCTATCAAGTAAGGTTGTTTTTGCTTTACCAATAATCCAATTAGGATTTGTATGGTTGGTCAATGGATAATATTGTGAAACATATTGGAAACAAACGAAATTGTAAGTGATATCATATAATATTATTATTAATTAACAATACTTCATAGGTACATTTTGTGGGATATTTCGTCGGCAAGCTTTAGATAAAGGTGCACTACTTCTTGGTGCCAACAAAATATGTACAGGTCATAATGCTGATGATATTGCAGAGACTGTATTAATGAATAGTAAGTCTAAGTAATGCGATGTGAAAAGTGGATCTTTTTGCACTGTACTACTGAAGTGTGTATTATTATTTAGTTTAATTCCTAGAGGAACATAGCGCTTCAGCCGCACCTCTCCATTGCGTTTGGTTCCCTGCTAGAGTTTTCACCTGGCTCCAAGTCTGCCCACATGCTTTCATCTCCTCTTCACATCTCCTCCTCCATGTCACCCTCGCACTGACGACCAACTGGCCGCTTCCCTTCGGATTCCACTCGAGAGACGGCCTGGTGTGTGATGTCCCTTATGGTTTCCTCAGAGTATGGCCAATCCATCTCCAGTTCTTCCTGCTTATTAATTGTACAATCGGTTCCTGTTGGGTTGGTTCGCCAGAGATCCCTGTTGCTGATCTTTTCTGACCAGCCATCTGATCTTGAGTATTGGGCAAAGGCAGCTGTTAATGAAGGTCTGTAGTTTGTTTGAAGTGCTCTTTATGACGCGCCAAGTCTCTGATCCATATAGCGAGTAGCACTGACTTCACATTGGAGTTGAAAATCCGGATCTTATTTTTCATGCAGAGGAGTGCTGTTGACCTCCACACAGACTTGAGAGTAATGAAAGCTTGTCTTGCTTTCTCGATCCTTGGTTTGATATCCTCGTCAGTTCCGCCTGTAGTTGAAACGATGCTTCTTAGGTAGGTAAAGGAGGTTGTTTCTTTCAGGTTCCTCCCATTTAAGTTTGCCAGTATCTTAACGGCGTAAGTTCAGCCCTCTCATAGGTTAATGCCACAGAAGGAGGTGTTACCAATGGTCAACCTACATTTTACATCTATTTATGGCATTGAACCATGTATGAATCAATAAACATTTCTCCTGCTTATTTTATTGCATCTTGATCATCAGTGTTCGTGAATAGATCTTTTAACATCAATTCCATGTTAGTTTGTGGATTATATATATAAAAGTGTTGTTTATTATATGACATTTCGAACATACTCAACTATTCATGATCACATCCACCTATATCTTTATCCATAGTAAGCAAGTTGATATAGATAAATCAAAATCACAGTTAACATACTTCAAAGTGAAATTTCATCACAACTTTCCTTTGGAGACTGAAATTATTCTAATCACAATAAATAATGTACTTGATACTACTAATAACAATCAAGAAAGTAAACACAAATTCATGAGACTATATACTACTGATTAGTTGACATGAGTAGTTGGATACACCACATACATCAACCAGTAGTCCTTGCTACTCGGATCGAAGTGATCTAGAGACCGTACGGCCATTTCGCTGGTTTGTAGTTCCACTCTACAATAGTGCTTACATTTTACTCGTATATCTTATTGTACTAATTTAGATTAAGGGGTTTATGGAGGTTTCGACTAATTTCAATTATCAAATTTTGTCACACACCAACATTACTTGAGGACTAGGGAGCATTGGACAGCAGTTTTGTCCCAGTTTGGGACTCTTCATCAGTACAAGTCCACTATCTTACCAAGGATTGAAACCATGACCTTCACCTTCAGGTTACGAGACAAAGCTTGTTGACCATTCAACCACTTGCGAAAGAATTCAATGACCCGTAAATTCCAACTTTTGCAGAGATATAGTTCATTGGCTTAAGCACTCGGTTTTCAGTCTATGGGTCACGGGTTCGAGTTCCTGTCCGCCTACTCCAGCTTGGGCCTTCACGCGATCAGTGTAACACTTAGCCTGGTACATGGAAAATGTCTTCCGGGTAACTGAGCTTAAACGAAACTGTTGTCATTTCATCATATGGCGCTACTGATTCGCAGAATACAAAACCATCTGAATTATTTACCACTTGTGTACACTCAGTGTGTTGAATGCAAGTAGTAACAATTCCTTATTATTTACAATCTGTTTCTTTTATAGTCCTTCGAGGTGATATTGGCCGATTGAAAAGATGCACAGCTATCATGACAGTAAGTAATTAATAAATTAACCAATTCTCCTTAAGTTTTTCGACTTATTCTCATACACACATTATTCTGTGTAGGGTACAGACGGTGTACTGCCACGTTTTAAACCATTCAAATATGCCTATGAAAAGGAGATTGTCATGTATGCACATATGCATAAATTGGATTATTTTTCAACTGAATGTAAATATGCACCACAAGCCTATCGGTAAGTTTTCAGGTGTGTTTATTTGCTAATTTGACGCATAGAGGTCATGTGAGAGCGTATATTAAAGATTTGGAGAGAATACGACCCAGAACTATCGTAGGTATGTTGTTTGTTTATTATTATTCATTCTTACTACTATTTTTTCCCCTCAAAGATATTATTGCATCTGGAGAACGTATGGCTATTCGAAGTGATGTAAAAATGCCCACAAAAAGTAAGGCTTTTTAGTCTTTATTTTCATCACATCTATCGATTCATTTCCTTATGTTGTATACACTTTAGAGGTGATTCACCAGTGCGGAAAATATGATTTTCACCTTACCAGGTTGGGCATTCAGTCCGACCCAAATTAAGCCAGTAGATAGTATTTTTAAGCTTCTCATACTAGACATACTTCATAGTCCCCAGTACATTGATCCGTGCGTCGGTGATCCGCCGGTAGAATGCTGGCTAACCATGCTCGTGATTTGGGGTTCGACTCCCGGTCAAAGTACTCCTAAACCTCACCCAGTTCACTACTCGATAGTAAACCCTGAAAAATGAGAGAGATTAGGTAAGAGATCAAGAACTCCACCCCGTAAAACTAACACCATAACTACTGAAACTTGAAGTCCTGTTTTCCACTTGGAACGTAAAGGAATGCGAAGAAAGCACATTGAGCCTCTTCATAAGCATATATGTCTCACAATCGTAATAAGAAGAACAAAAATAGAGGTAAATCAAATTTGAAACGTTGGTTTTTTAATAGTAACGCTAAGTGATAACCAGGCTTTCAGAATCAGAGGTTTTACATTATTTTATTGTGTCTCCAGTCATCTTTTTGTAGAACTTTACGAATTATAATGTTTGTTTAAGATAGTTGATTGTCTAATTGGAGTAATCAATCATTAATAGTGTGAAATATTCCCATATTATGAATTAAAAGTCGATCTGAACGAAGAATATTCTTTTCAATAATTTCTCGTCAGGTTCTTACAATTATGAAATATAATATCTTTTTTGTCATTACAATAAAGGCCAGTTATGCGGTGGATACATTTTTAACGTAGAATAACACATTAGTTGTGGGGTGCTAAAATAAATAGTCGTATTTGTGTGACAAACGTGCTAGGCTGAAATCGATTAGAAAATATTGTAAAACGGGAGACAATGGTAGTGATTAATCATAGTAGATTTGTAGAGTGTGGGGTAGGAAAATTGACAAATCAGTTCAAGGTTATCGAGGGTGTCAGGTGAGTGAGTGGCTAGTACAAAGTGGTCTGTGTTAAACAGGAGATAGTAAGACTGCAATGAGAGGTTCATAATGAAATAACGAATATTTGAAATGAAACAGGTGGAGGCATATATTGAGAAAAGAGATAATATCACTAATAATAGGTCCGGATAGTATAAATGAAAATTCGATAGTATTGAGGGAATGTTAGCATGAAGGGCATAAATTATGACGAATAATAATAATAATTGTAATAATAAGCAAAGAGGAAAAACCAAGAGGGATAAGGGGGAGGAGCACTCTTGGTGAGAAGAAGAATCATCAATCCAAGTTCGACCACGGTAGGAACAGCGTCTGGATGTGTTCTTTTTGGATACAAAGTTCCGGTTTAGTCGATCTTATTGCAACAACTTCAGCTATGTGTAGGAGACGTAAGCGAACTGTACGTGATAACGCTTTCGGAATTCAGTACATAACCCTGAAAGCTGTGTTGACATTGCCTTTATTGTAACGACAAAAAATATTATATTTTATAATTGTAAGAACCTGACGAGAAACTATTGAAAAGAATATTCTTCGTTCAGATTGACTTTTAATCACTTTTTGATTGCACACTAGCCGGTAACTAGTGTAGTGTGTGTATAGTCCTGTCTTTTGTGCAGACTGAATTCTGCCAGTCAACTTTGCAATGTGACTACCATGCTAGGTGGTGGCTGGCCATCATGGTACACTGTAAATTGTTGGTATTAGATAGATTGTTGGAGGCAATCGGCCACAGGAAGCCTTGGACATCGAGATTTCTTGCTAATTGGCACTCACCAGTCAGCAAGGCGTATCTGCAACCTTTGTTTACTTACAGATTACTGCACAGTTCTCTAAGACATGTCTTGAATACTAAGTGGTTTCCCTTTTGCGTTTCTCTTTTGATTTTAGACTGGTCTTAACATCATTTTCTTCCTTGCAGCAAAAAATAAGATTGGCACCCACATTACTTATGGCTCACAAGTATTCATTTTTATACATTCATACATACATCACTAGCAGGTGGTTATGGTTCGGTGATTAAAAAGGTTGGATAACTAACTAACTAACTTATTTGACACAACTGATTACCTTTTGCAAATTTCAAGAGTTACTTTGTAGAGATTTGACTGGTTTGAAGTTTGATTACGGACTGATATCAGTTGGGGAGGGAACCAGCAAATCCGGGAGTACTGGAGAGCTGTTTTGTCCTAGCATGGAACACTTAATCAGTACGCACCCACAATTACACCAGAAATCGAACCGTGGACCTCTAGATGTTAAGTGAATTAAGCTCGTTGACCACTCAACCACTTGTGCTAGAGTCAAATGGCTCGTGAATTTTGAGATAAAACAACAATAAAAAGACGTAGTTTGTCCGAATCGTGTAATGTATTTGCTCAACACATTTCAGCCGATACACCTACGCGCCATAGAAAGTTCTGTGAAAATAAAGTGTTCAGGGGTGAGAGGCTATATTGAAGGTCTAAATAATAATGGAGATAAGTAGACCAAATTGAGGTAATAATACATTTATCCTGACATCAATGGCGTCGGTGGCACAGTGGTTAGGACTCTCGCCGACCATGCACATGGTCCGGGGTTCGATCTCCTGCCGACGCACACCTGATGCCTATGATCGGCCTGCAAAATTTAGGCTACCGATATCCATGCTGAAAATTCCATACCTGTACCAAAAATACGGTGTGGAATCAAGCTGAAATCAAAATCAAAAAAGTCAAAAGTTTGCCGAAGAAGGTTTATAATGTGATCACAAATTGTTTCTAAACACACTTAAAGGTGGCTTAAACTTCGTCATCATGGCTAAGGTTTGTATGAACTCTAGGATACGCTCCAAACAAATTTTATAGACATGTTTAAAAGATGCGTGGACATCAGTTTTATTCCCTGTATCTGTAATATGTTTCGCAATGGAAGAACTGTGTCATCTGTTTTCAACATTCGTGGGTTCAGAGGATTGTGTTTGCTTCTGAAGCCGTTACTTGCAGAGGTCAATGAGTCCTCCTGATATTGTAGACCTAATTTTCTATGTCATTTTCCATGTCTATTTGTATTTCTCTCACCCTATTTATGACATTTGAAATTTTACTGGTTGTTCATCGTTTAATTTATCAATGACATTAGTACCTCTCATGGTCATTTTAAACGTGTATACTCGAGGGCTGTCAATCTTTTTGGGCTGTTGTTCTGACACAGTAAAAGCTTTCTCTTATCAACGTCCAGTCTTCTCTTCTGTCTTTTACGTGCCAGCTGAGTTATTATTGTTGTCGTGTGATTAGAACAGATTATCCAGCGCATTACGTTAGTATTCGCTCATAGTCTACTAGCTCGTAGTTCCCCTCACAACACTTCCTTATGTGTATGTATGACCTAAAGTACATTCAAATTGGTAGATACAGTGGTATCTGACGTCATTTTCCATTTGCTCTAAGGACTTAGATGGATATTTAGACTTCACATTTGACCACAGCGTTCTATCTTTGTTTCAGTAACAGGCTGATATGATCATCCATGTATGATGGCTTGATATATACATCCTTCTTAGCGGCGAGTTGGGGAATGAGTCTTGGTGTTATAACCGCTTTATATTTCTGTATGGATTTCTCTGGATAATGACTACTTTCAACCAGAGTTTCTATCAGTCTTCTTTCCTCACCTCCAAGTATGTTTCCTGTGGATATTTGTTGGATGCTACTTGGTCAGTCTATCCTCTCACCCCTTAACACTTTATTATTCTCATATACATTAAGTGACTAACTATTTGTGAACAGTAATGCTAGTCAGTCATGCACGTGGCCTGGGGTTCGAGTCCCGGCCTGCGCACTCCTTTACCTTTCTTAGCCGGTTATAATTCCGATAAAGAGAGGAAGTTGGGTGTGAGGCTAGCAACTCCACCACCGCTAAAACCCCCCGTGCTACCGAAACTTCACAGCGAAAGCTTGAAACTCCCTGTTCCACTGGGAAAGCAAAGGAATAACAAAATGCCTAAGATATCAATTAAGTGTTCAAGAAAAAGTTTAAAAACAGAGTTGCATGGAAATACTATAAATTAATTTTCGGATTAAGTGTCTTTCACACGCCAAATATCATAATCCGATTTAATATACTTGTCTGAGTGTTAGATATTCCTTTTTTATTAAGTTTCTATATAACATACCATACTACTCGCCTTATCTATTATGGAATTTTCTGAATTCTCCATGGCTTTATTCCACTGAACTTAAATAGGCTGTTCAAGTGTTGGTTTGTAGAGATTTGATTGGTTACAGGATTTCATCATGAGCTGACATTAGTTAGAGAACCATTGGAAAACCAGCTGGGAGTACTGGACAGCTGTTTCGTCAAAGTTTGGTTCTCTACAGTACGTAGTAGTCTGTTTCCGTTGGATCCTATTACTCATGGCTTAACGAAGTCTTTAGACTAACTTGATGTTGATTGGTGGTGGTGGTAACTAGTAGTTGAACCCAGGATATGCATTTCCTCCTAATTGGGAAGTCTTCATCTGTATGTATATCTATCTCGATGAGGGATAGCGTTTGAAACTGTAGGTTTGAGTCATATAGTGGGGACACTATGGCTTACTGAGTTGTGCACATACGCCTAGCTGATAACCACTAAATACGACAAACCACGCGTCCCAGATGCCACTGTTATCCATCATCACCAGTCAAAAACAACTTCGTACGTGTTAACTTTCAATAGTTTTACACTTATCCATGTTTTTTTTATTTGTTTTCTTTCTCAGGTACTTGTGAAAAGTGTGGATGCATTTCAAGTCAGTCTATTTGTCAGGCTTGTGTTCTGCTAGAGCAGTTGAATTCCGGTCTGCCACAGTTGTCCATAAAAGAAACTGATCCTCATTCTAATGATGATTAACTGGAGGATTTTTAGTTCTTCAAAACTTTCTCATCGAAATGTACATCTGAATATATATATATTTTGATATACGTCTTTGTACTAATATATCATACTTTTTCATGGTATATTTATTATTTTCTTCAAAGATACATTTGTACAGTGATCATTAGGAGAAAAAAATAAACTATTCTGAGCACAATTCTCTTTTACTTTATTATTATTATTATTGTTCCCTAAGGTTCCCAGTGGAACATTTGTATTCACTACAGCACATCTTTATTTTGTTCTGTTTTCTGCGGTGCTGTTTAGCTAGCCTCACGACCACCCATAGTCTGTGATCTCCCCCCCCCCCGTGTAACTATCAGACACTCCACTACTATTCGTTTCCCATTCGGGTTCCACTCGACGGCCTAGCGCACAACGTTACCCAATGGTCTCTACATTGTGTGTCTAATCTATCTCCATTTTCTTTTACATTTTTATTGGACAATAGGTTCTTGGTTGGTTTATTCGCAGAGTTTCTTGTTGCTTATCCTTCCTGGCTAGCCATTTGATCTTCAGGATGGATCCAGAGAAGGCAGCTGTTGATAAAATCCTGCAACATGCTGTTGAAAATGCTTCTCGTGACGCGCTATGTTTCCGATTCATATAAAAGAACTGACTGGCTTGACATTGGTGTTGGAGATCTGAATTTTGTCCTTGATGCTAACTAAGTACAGGAGACTTCCAAACTGCCTTGAGAGTGATGAAGGTCTGGTTTCGACATCCTAATCCCTGCCTCTGTCTATAGTTGAAACAATGCTTCTTAGATAAGTGAAGGAAGTAACCTCTTTCAGATTTCTCTCGTCGATGATGATTGGTGCTGTCTGTTTTCGCTGTTGGTTAGTTATCTTCATCACCTCCATCTCTTCTATGTTCACCTGGAGTTCCGTCTTTGCTGCTTCATCGGAAAACTTGCTAGTTTTCGCCTTTAAAGCTTCGAGGTTGTCTGAAATTAGACATACATCAATCATCCTTGAAATCCAGATCTCGTAGAGTCTTCTTATCGGTCAGTGCAGTGTATTCTCGTCTTCTCACTCCCTGTGAACAGTCTGGTTCATGATCCAGTCCACCGTAATTAGGCATATCATCAGTGATAATAGGCAGACAGCCTTACCTTACTCCTGTATTCACTTCGAACGCCTCACTGAGTTTTCCGTTGTGGATCACCACCACCTGACATGTAGCATAGTCGTATACTCAACTGTTGAATGAGTTTGATAAAAATTTGGATGCAGCACGCCATAGTGTTGAAGTAGTAGTATTAATTCTCGGTCAAAGCTGTGTCGAAGGTCTTCTCGAAGTCGATGAAGTTGTGGTAGAGTGAGGTTTGAATGCCATTCTATTCTTTGTTCGACGACGATACGTAGAGTTGCAATTTGATGAGCACATGATTGCGTTAAACCATTACTAATTTAGCTTTAGGACTTTGACTGTGTGAACCATAATCAGACACATAAGTTTTGTTTGCTGATATTGGCGCATATATGGTTGGTGCTTCTAAGCCTTCTTGGAATATTTGCAATAAGAAATTAGTTTTTCGTGACCTCGGTGCCCTAGGGAAGTTTGATTGAAACTTGGTCACATATGGCTGGTTTTAGATGTGATGAGGTTAATGTCCGGCTGCAAACTGCTACAGAGTAAGTTGGGATTTATAATTCTTGGGACTCGTCATTTATATATTTTCACCAGAGCAGGAATGAAGAGCTACTGTCATCTTAAGGAAAACCTTTTCTACTGTCAATCTTCTTTTCACCAGCAACATATATTCACGCTCAAACTATACCAAAGTGTAAGGGATTTACATTATTTTACGCTTACCTATATCCAGTCAGTCTTCATTAGATGATAGTGTGGTGACAGCTGGCTGCAAGCCAAGATTGCGGACGACAAATTGCGTCAATGTTGGCGTCCCGAATCAGGGTCATGAGAAAGACAATCACAAAGCTTGACCTTGAGAAAAACACCAGCCGATCGCGTGTGGAATATGATTCGCAGATGTGTGGCTTAGCTTTCTGAGAAACGGCCACGAAGAGATGACAGAATAACCTTCAGCAAGAAAACAACCAATCAGAAGAGGTTGCTTCTCAGCTAACAATAATGTACATAAAAATCTATAAATATCTGTTTATTTTCTCAATAAACGATCTGTTGCCTGGCCCTTGTCTTCTGTCGTTACAATAGGATCTGCACGTAAGACCATTTCCACTAGCATAAGCTATATGCAAGCTAAGTCGTCACGTCTAGGTAGCAGCTGTCACTCATGTACAATATTCAGTGTAGAAGATATTCGATGAACATTTATTGAGAAAAGTTAGAATCCGGCTCAACTGGATGAGTGGTCAACGAGCCTGACCTAGTAACCTGAAGACCGAGGGTTCTATGCACGATGGGGTCGTGGATGCGTATTGCTGAAAGATCCCAAACCAGGAAAAACAGCTATCCAGTACTCTCTTATGATTTCAACAGATCTCTAAGTGACATCTATCCGTGACCAAACTTGGAACTAAACAAATCTCTACTAACTACCTCATGAGAAGATTTATAAACGAGTAATCTGAGCAACTTACTTTTCTGATGACACAAAGTGAGATTAATGGCAACTGTTACCAATCATTCTTACTCCGTACATATATATATATATATATTACACTATACTAACTTAACTGCCATATAATAGTACTGTGGTGAGAGCTGGCTGCTAGCCAAATCGGTAGATAGTAATTTGCGTCAATGTTTACGTCCTCAATATTGGTCGTGAGCAAAATAAGAACAAAGACTGATTCAACAACCAATCACAGCACACTTTGTTTGCGTGGGAGGATACAATTTGCAGATAGATGATCTGACCTTCAAGAAACGGCCACAAGAGGGATGAAAGATTAACTTTCAGTGAGAATCAATCAATCAGAAGACTGTGTTTTTCTGCTAACAATAATCTGTAATATGTACATGAAAATCTATACATATCTCCTGATTTTCTCAATAAATGATATGTTGCCTGGCCCTTGTCTTCTGTTGTTACAATAGTACTATCTCAGACGTTGTTTACTCTTACTACTTACCTGACTTTGTGAACAATCCTGCCTACCACTATGACTACACTAAACTATTGAGGTATACAAACAGGATTACATAGTGAGCACGTTTCGAGTACATATTCAGTGAACATTTCTTGATCATTAATTAGTATCAGTAGTAAGGGGAAAAGGATTGATTGTAAAAATTCCAGATGGTTTTTCAATGAAATCGTATAATGATGAAACAAAATTATCTCTGTCAGAACAATAACACCCTTCAAACCTACAAACTCACTCAGAGATAAGCTGTGTAGGCTAAAAGACTCGGTGAAGCCAATTAAACAAAACAATATAATTTACAAAATACCTTGCAATGACTGTGAGTGAGGTCGACTACATAGGTCAAAATAGTAGATCGGGGGTAATCAGATTGTCAGAACATAAGAATTTTGCTAAGGTAAGAATGGTTGACCCCGTGAAGATAAGTAATTTAGAAATAGGCTCAGCAATTGCACTGCATGAATTAACACACAATCACACAATAGGTTGGGAGAGGGTTACACTTCTAAAAAGTAATCTATGTATGTGGCGAGAGAGAGATTGATTACTGTATTCTTGTTCATCGAGTCTACACCCAACACATGCAACAGAAATGACTCAATGCAAATACCAGAAATATGGAAGATATTATTACCACCAGTCAGTCAAATCAGAGGAGGATAATAAATAATCTCGGAATTCTATTTCAATTCAAGCACATCACAACATTCTAACAAGTTACTTATTATGACTATAAAAAACACTCGTCGTATTTCCCATCTGATTGTAATTGATCAATGACACTCATAATATTATTATTTCTGAATGTACATTATCTCATATTGATTTTCATTCAAATATCTAGTCAATTCCAAACATGTATATAAATGAAGGAAAAAGTTGTGTGAGTAGCTTGATATGATTATGAGCAGTAATAATTTGTGCTCGAAACGCGGGCATCAGTTAATAATAGTGTATAACACTGTGTGATTTATCAGAATAAAATTTTATCTATAATGGAGTTATACTCTAGCATAGTGCCAATATAAGACTAATAAAAATTGACATCGAAACTTTCCATTTGGTTTTGCTGTAGAAGTACCTGATAATAAAATTATAAAGTTTGTCTTTCACCATCAAGAACACAAGGCAAACCATCATCTGAAAGTTTAAAAGTCTAAAAGAATATTTGTCTGTAAGCAAACCTTATGTTGCATATTAATTATTAATAATACTACTAATAATAATAACAACAGAATTCACGAAAACTGTTAGCAGCAGGATAATGTTTAGTGAAATTCCTATGAATGCATACACAAGTTGAGGTCATTTGAATAGAGATGCTATGGCAACTGTTTGTGTATACCAAACTATCTCCTCATTCCATGAACAGAGATTATCCAGGAAATGTCAGTTTTAGCAAAAAAAAAGGAATATTTAGACAAATCACAGGAAAAATAGAAGTTTCTATGTATCTTACTTAGGGTTTAACTTTTTTGTGTAAATATTCTTGCTTTAAATTTTATAATATGGTAGATTTCAATAATAAATTGCTGGCTGCTATGGTAAAATTGATGCATAAAAGTCAAATATAAAAGAAAGCTGGTGGGAAGCATTTGTGTTGAAAAGTTGTAAAATATCACGTCACTTGAGACGGACAGAACTGCTGACCTTATTTAAGAAGACTGGATTACTTGAATCCCAATAAAAATACAGAATGAATAAAAGAATTCCATGGAATAAGGATAAAGAAGGAACTGACGGGATACCTGTATATCATCATGCTACTAAGGGTAATAGATTAATTTATTATATTGTCACTGCAGAACATATTATTATTTGATAGATGGGATTGTTTATTGGCAATTTGCGCCATTTGCACGTATCCTCCGTAATATGCTGCTTTTGTCCTCCTTTCATGTTTTCTATGTTGTTTCATGAGAGTTGTTCATTTCTTCTAGTCGTTACCGAATCTATTCCACCTCTGTTTAAAATTCTTGCAGACAATCCATATATATATATATATATATATATATGAGTCGGTGGCACAGTGGTTAGGACTCTCGCCAACCATGTACATGGTCCGGGTTCGATCCCCTGCCGACGCACAC